TCAGAAGAGAATGTCCTCACCTTTTTGCAGCCATGTCTGTGAACCCACCCGCCCCCGCCGTGTGTCCTCGGTCAGGACGACACCGTCCTCCCTCCTGTGCAGGACAGGACTACCCCCGTGTGCAGTGGGTTCCGCGATGCTCTCGCTTTCTCAGAACCTTCCCTGTGCCATCACCATGTTTCTTCATTCTGGGTTAGTCCTGTAAACATACAAACACGCCACCGCGTCTTTTTGCCTACAGCGATGGAAATGTGCCTTGACAGTGTCCTGCTCCCTTCCACAAAATTTCCAGGGAGCTGCTGGGCTTGCTTCATCTCCTCCTGTCCTTCCTGTTTTAAACTCATTTTTAATTTACATCACAGTAACATTCACTTTTATAATACACCAGCTCTGATTTTCCAGAAGGATTTGTAATCATATGAGCATCTTCAAGATGCAGAGCATTTCCATCTCCTCAAACACTCCCTCCTGGCCTCCATCCCTTTGGGTTCCTAAGCCCCAGCGACCACTGGCCGGTTCTCAGTGCTCACAGGTCCTCCTTCCCCTCGGCCACGGCTGTCCGCCTTGCGTCCCCACCACTGCTCCTGCTGGGACCACCGGCACCTTCCACGTCACCCCGGCCCAGGCTGTTTTCAGCTTCCTTTAACTCAGCCTCTCATGGATGGTCCTTCGCCCCGTCTTCTGGAAGCACTTCTTCCCTTGGCTTCTGGAACACTACACATTGCTGGTTTTCTAACTCAACACCTGTTGCTTCCTGACCGACATTCCCAAGGCTGGTGCCCAGATCTCACGCTCCACCCGTGCTCACTTCCCAGCCTAGTTCAGACACTTCATGTGCCACTTTGACCTTAAACTCAAGCTTATTTTGCCAGCTCTGATTTGTCCTCCGAGCACCTTCCATGCCTTCAACAGCCACTCAGCTGTCCCGTAGACACCTTGCACTCCACACGGCCAAACACATGCCCTGATCTCCTGTGCATTCCCCCAACCTAACCTGCTTTTCCGGGTGACTGCGTCATGCTCATGAATGTCACCTCCATTCTTCCAGCGGCTGCAACCAAGAATCTAGGACTTACACTCATTCCTCTCTCTCCTCTACACTTGACCTCCAACCCACAAGGAATTCTTATTGATTCTACTTTCAAATTTATACTGGAATCCGGCCCTTCATGGGCAGCCCTGCCTAGCCCAGCTGGTGTCCTCTGTCTTCCAGACTAAATTACCACTAGTGTCCTCCTTGCTTCTCCTGCATGACGGTGGTCTGCCACTCTCCCAGGATAAGAGTGATTTTACAAACTAAGTGGAGTCGGAACTGTCCACAACTCCCAATCATACCTGGAATGAAATCCAGACCTGGTCCCAAGTCCAGGATGCCCTCCATGACTGGCTCCGACCACCTCCACCACACCAGTGCCCACCGTGCCCCTCTATCAGCTCCGGGGCACCACCTTCTCCTCCCCACCCCACCCCACCACGAGGTCATTCCTTCTCACGTCCTTTGCACTGGCTAGTTCTCTGCCGGGGGTGCTCGTCCCCAAACACTTAGAAGGCAGCCCTCTACTTTCATTCTGTTTTCTACTCAGTTGACATCTATCCAAAGAGTCACGACTGTCCTAAGATACTTGAACTTATTTCTCGGCTACATCTCTCCTATAGCACTGATCACTCTCTGAAATCAGGCTATATGTTGATTTTTTAATTGGCTCTCTCCCTCTAAATTCCTTGACAGCAAAGCCTGTTGTTCACATCCGCTCCTGCAACCCCAGTTGCAGGTGCAATGCCTGGCATGCAGTAAGTGCTCGGAATTATTTGTAGTTCGGATGGATAAAAAATATGATTTGCACGCTAGCCCCATTGATTCCATTCTCCTACCTGAGGAACAAGTTATTCACATCAGCTTTTAAGCTCAAACAGCAGGCTACACATCTCAGACTAACCATGGGCTCAAATAGGTACTAATAATGAGTAATATTTACTGATTGTTAAATAAATTCCAGCACTATTCTAAGCATTTTACGGATGTGAACTTATTTAATCCTCGCAGAAACTCTGTGAGGGAGGCCTGTGATTACCTGCATTTCACAGAAAAGGAAAAGAGAGCACAGAGAGGTGAAGCATTTTCCCTGGGGTAGCACAGCTTGTAAGGGGAAGAGGCAGGCCTCAGGTCTGTGCCCTCTGGCTGCAGAGCCTGCGTCTCCCCAGGATGTTCTGTTCCTGATCATTATGCACAGTACTACAGTCAAACCCTTGGGGTATGGGAGAATCTTTGGAGAAATCCGGATTCCCTCTGTGGACTTCCTCTGCCGGGACGTTGGTGAATAAAGGGCATCAAGAGCAGGAGCCTGGCTGTTGTCACTGTGGTTGGCCAGGCCGGGGTGGGGTCATCTGGACATTTGAGGGAGGGATGAGAGCCCAGGGCTTGAAGGAGCCACGGAACGAAGGCACCACCTCCTAACCACGGATGGGAGCAGTGATTGGGCAGGATTTCCCGATCACAGAAGGAACTGTGTGGTGATGGGGAACGTGGGAGAAGGAACAGAGGTGGAGAAGGAGGGAGGGAGGAGAACGGTGGGCAGGGGCGAAGAAGGAGAGAGGGAAGGGGGAGGAAGGAGAAGGGGAGGAGGGAGGGGGAGGGAGGGGGGAGGAGGGGAGGGGGAGGGCTGTGGGAGGGCATGCGGAGAGCAGCACTGGGGATGGTCAGCCGGCCTGCAGGGGCTGCCTGTTTGGGATCTGCGCCGGTACTGACCTCTCCTGGATTCTCTCCTAGCTCCACCCTGTGAACCAGCCAGTGAAGGTGAGTAACACTTCCTTTCCTCTTCATGGTCCACGGGCATCATGTCACTGGGACGTCTGTGCAGGAGGCCGGTGGATGCTGTCTGCCATCTGGTGGCAGCCGCCAAGGTCTAACATGACAGAGGCTCCCTGGGGACCAGGCTGCTTGTGTTCAGGCCAGTTTCTGCACCTGACATATGGCTGCTCAGCTAGGGGAGCAGGTCTTGGCCCCACCTTCTCAAAACCACCGTCCCTCCTGTGGGAAGTGCCAGCTCAGGAAGGGAGATGCTGTTTCCCAGGAAGTCACCGAGTGTGGAAGACGGATGTTAGAAGAATTGCCGTCCCCTCCCCCCAGCCTCGGGGGCTGCAAGGCCCCTGTGTCTTCCCCACGGGGTGCTCCCCCAGGAGCGACGGAGGAAACGCCACCATCACACATCCATGGAGAACATGACAGTCAGTCCCTGGGCCATGGGAAAACGAAGCGCGCTCTGCCCCCTTCCCATTTCCAGCCCTGCTCTGTAGCCACAGCTGTTCCCCCGTGCAACTTCTCTCTCAGACTCTGGTTGGCACAAACCCACCATCGCTCTGATCCTGATTCAAATTACCAGACGAACAGAGGAGGAAGTTTTCCCCCTGAAGGAATCTTCTACTGAAGTGGGTTTCAATCCAGGATATGTCGGAACTGCTCTCTTATGCATAAAATACTAACCACAGGGCTCGAAGAGGCTTCCTGCCCACCTCAAGAACACAGGCCGCACCTGGGGCTGGGGAGCACAGCTCTACAGGCCAACGGCCAGAGATACTCAGAGCCAGCCCAGGCTTCTGGGATGCTCTCCCAAGGTTCAACCAAGTTGAACCCAGGCCATGGGTTAATGCCAACACTCTCTGTGCCTGATCCTGCTTTTACCCCATGAGTGCCCAATCTGAGCCTAAGCTGAAATCCAAATCCACATCCAGAAGAAACAAAGCTTTGCCAGGAGTTTGCCAGGTTTGCCTGGGAATACCTGAGAATTACCTGAAACAAGCTCTCTGAGCAGCAAGACTGAGCTCCAGCCCTTGCAAACTGCCCTATCCAGTGTCCCATTCCACACCACCTGCCCCGTTCAGAAGAGTGGGGGTACAGGTGCCTAGATTTTTTTTTTTCCTTTCTCTGTCCTCAGTCCTCTGGGGACTGCAGTTTTCCAAGGAGAGAAGATGACCCCTAGTGCCAGAAATTCCAAGCCCCAGAGCGAACATTCTGGTACCAACATTGAAATTAAGTTTTTAAAAGTCCCAGGATAAAGCATTCCAATTGCAAGGCTTGAGGATGACAGGTATTGGAGCAACAAACCCCTCTCAGGGATTGAGAACACTTGGCATTTTATCTGGTGAGGCAAGAAAGGCTTTTCTTAGGAAAATTCCTAAACTTTCTCGAAGAGCCCAGGCTCTGAGGTTGGATAAACAAATGCCTCAAGAGCCAGTGTCCTCCGGGGTTTGATGTTTCCCTGGGCGCTGCAGCTGGGCCGCTGGGGATGTGGGGAGGCAGGACCCAGCTTTGCCCATCTGTAGTCCATCCGGAGAAGAGCCCCTATGGCCGGAAAAGGAGACATCCCTGAGTCCCAGGGTATGGGCTGAAACTGCCCCTTATGCCCATGGCTTGCACAAGGTTTGCGCACAGTCCCAGAGCAAGGGAGCTGGATGTGTGCATGCAGGATTTTCAGGCAAGCACACGCCGGGTCCTTCCATTCAGAGCGGCAGTAACAGGGGCAGGAAAGACTCAGTAAAGAAAGCATTGAATTCCTCTAATCTTTCCCCAACTGGCAGATCATCCGTCCGGGGTCACATTCTGTCCTGAAAGACAGAGTGTGGCTCTGGGATGCCGGGGGCGGGGGGAGCCGAAGAAGATAACCAACATGGTTCACGACAAGAATGAATGAAACACACTTGCTGTTCCTGAAACGTCAGGCTTCACCATCTCCGATAACAGTCGTCGGTACCCTGCCCTGTCTCCAAAAAAGGTGTTTTTAGTTCATGGATGGAAATGTCAAAGAGTGGGAACCAAGCTGAAGGTAGAGGTTGCCTTGTGGGGGGAGGAGATGCTGCATAGGGGCAGGCCGTGCTGGGGTGGGGGTGGTCTCTGCACCCAGCTGGCCTTGTGCAAAATGCTGAGAACACAACGTGCCTCTTGTGGGAATTCTGAAACCCATTGCCCTGGAATGTGTCTTTTGTCCTTCTCTCTAGTGCTGCTTCTGACAGCCAGGCCCTCTCGGCCCAAGGAGGGGAGCTCAATGACCCTGACCTGTGAGGCACAGGCCGCTTCTTGGAAGCCAGACGCCCAGCCCCAGTTCTGTTTCTTCAGAGACAGCCAGGCCCTGTGGCAGGGCTGGAGCAGCTCCCCAGAGCTCCAGCTCCCCACTGTGTGGAGGAAAGACTCGGGGTCCTACTGGTGTGAAGCGAAGACCTCAGATCTCAGAGTCACTCGGAGCCCCAGGATTCAGATACAGGTGCAAGGTGAGTGCGGGGGCCTACACCGGGGACTGACACGGGGCCAGGGGCACGAGGTTGCTCTTCCCTTGGGGGGGAAGGAGCTGGTGGAGATGTGCCTGAGCTTCTCTCCTTCTCAGAGTCCTTAAGGGATCTGCCCTTACCCTTGCTAATCGCGCTCAAGTGCACAGAAGAGTACTTAGGAGCCCCTCACGGCGTCCTCCCTGGGCTGGAGAGTGGGGGCGAGTCGCTGCATAATCACGGCCCCTGATGGCACCCGCCGCAGCATGGGGGGACATGTGTGGCGGTGGTGGGGAGTCACGGGAGCTACAGAGAAGGGAGAAATCAGACCCGCACGGTAAGGGCAGGCTTTGGGCACAAGGCTATGGGAGGGGCAGCTGGAGCTTGGTTCTGAGAGAGAGGAAGAGAAGGGGCGTTTTGTGACTCTGAACCATGTCACTGCATGTCCGGGTAGGCACGCTAACGTCCTCCCCCGTTCTCAGACAATGATGCGTCCATGGTGCCAGGAAGAGGATGTGGAATACCCCCAGAAGGTTGGCTTTCGCGCCCTTGCTCAAAACTCTGCACTGGTGAGGCCGGACCAGAACAAAGAGCTGCTGGGCAGCAGGCCCTGCTCTAGGCCCCACATGCATTATGTCATGGGACCGTCCCAACCGTAGGAGATAACTAGCACTCCCCCCTGCATTGTATGGATGGGAAACTGAGTCTCAGAGAAGTGACGTGATTGGATCAAGCGCCCACAGTAAGACGTGGGACCAGCATTCAAGCCCCGACAGCTTGATCTGCCATCTGTACTGTGGCCACCATAGTACCGTGCCTTGCAGAGTGCGGGTTTGAGAGGCCAAGATCCTGGGAGCCCCACGATTCCCGGGAGGGAGGGGGTGCTGCATCCACCGTGGTAACTGTATGGCCTTTCTCACCCTACCACGTCCACCTGGCCGAGGCCCACCCCAGTCGGCAGCAACCGCTCTCAGAACACCACCACTTGCCACCACTAAACTGCATAAATTATTGACTTTACCCAAGGCCTTTGCTCTCAGGATGGTCACGCCCCGTGTGTCACCTTGTGTTTGTGTAGGAGTCCCTGTCTGGAATGTGAGCTTGGAGACACAGCCTCCAGGGGGACAAGTGCAGAAGGGAGAGAAGCTGGTTCTCGTCTGTTTGGCCACCCAGGGCACAGGAGACATCACCTTCTCCTGGTACAAAGGGGCCCTGGGTTCGAACCTGGAAACAAAGACCCAGCGCTCATTGGCCGCGAAGTTTGAGATCCTGGCGGTGACGGAGAGTGACACAGAGAAATACTACTGCGTGGCCGACAACGGCTATGGCCCCAGCATCAGCGAGCTGGTGAGCGTCACCGTCAGAAGTAAGTTCCGTGACCTTCTGTCCCACCAGCACCCCCACTTGCTGGACTCCATGTTCCCTGGGGCAACCCGGGGAAGTTCAGTGGGGCTGAGCCTCTGTGGGCAGGGATTACGAGTCTGTCACAGTACGGTACACTCTCTGATGACTCCCTGTCTCCCTCAGGTCCGGTGTCTTACCCCGTCCTCACCCTCAGGGCGCCCGGGGCCCAGGCCGTGGTGGGGGACGTGGTGGAGCTTCGCTGTGAGGCCCAGAGCGGCTCTCCCCCGATCCTGTACCGGTTTTATCACGAGAATGTCACCCTGGGGAGCAGCTCGGCCCCCTCTGGAGGAGGAGTGTCCTTCAACCTCTCTCTGACCCCAGAACATTCTGGAAACTACTCCTGTGAAGCCGACAACGGCCTGGGGCCCCAGCGCAGTGAGGCGGTGCCACTCAGGGTCACAGGTACACAGCTCAGGCTATTGAATTGTCTTGGTCCAAGTTCCTTTCCAGCATCCTGGGAGAGTTTTACTGACCCCACAGTATTTCTGGTGCTGTGCTTCCAACGATGGAGCGTCTGAACGTGGTGCTGTCTAGGAGGTGTGTCTGAGGGGCACAGAGGACATGAAGGCTGGTGCCTCTCCTGCCATCAGGGTGATGAGCTCCAAGTCACATAAGTCAGTCCCACAACCTCTGCCCCCCTCGTCCAGGAAGAGCAGACCTTGGCCTCGGCCCACACCTGAGACGTCTGTTCTCCAAAGGCCAGCCCTCTTGCAGGGTGGCTCACGTGCAGACCTCTCCCCTCAGTGCCTACGGAAGACAAGAAGGAACTTCTCGCCTCAGAAATCCTTGAAGGGCTGCTTGGCACCCTTGCTCCCTCCATTATGGCCCTATTGCTCTGCTATTGGCTCAAGAAAAGAATAGGTTAGTATTTATAGATTCTGGTATTTTGTTACTGTGACCTTTGTTTTTACGGAAATAGGTGGGGCTGGGGACGGGAACGCTGTGAGGGACAAATATGTCCTGCCAGCCACCCAGCCTGCAGATCTGCTCCTGACCCCCAGCATGCGAGCAGCACCCATTACTATAGTGCGGTGTCTGTGGTCGAGTCCCCCACCCCGTGTGTGATCAGTTGGGGTTCAGCTGATGTCTGGTGCTTCTGGGATCTAATTTTCACCCAAAACTCTGACTCTATTTAAAATAACTAGCCAGCTACTGGAAGAAAAACCCAGTTAGCAATTCCAGCTCTGCCGACCACCCCCAGTTAAAGTCAGTGCCTCCATTCTCATCCCCCCAGAGCACCATCACATGCTCTTCCCACTTTCTGAAATGCTTGTCCATGCATCCTCACGTCTGCTTACCACAGGATCTCTCCTGCTTTTCAGCTTAAATGTCCTTTACCCCCAGAGGTTTCACCCAGCCACACAGCCTACAATTCTCTCAGTTTTTTCTTCCTCCGAGCCCTATTATTTAGCTTTACCCTGGCTCACAGTTGGTAATTACATATTTATTGGTGCATTTAATCTTGGACTCCTGTTCTCCACTGAGCAAGATGGAGACAATGCGAGATTCTCATTTAAATTCCAAGCTTATTCTGCATCTTGGGGCACTTCACCCCAGCTGTCAAGTGGCCGTACCCGTGCCTGTTTCTGAGGGTTCTTGTCGTGACAAGAGTAGGTAGTGTGTTGTCAAAACCCAAAGCAAAAACTACAATAGGTATTCGGGTTCAGAGGCTGGGGCTCAGGTCCTTACTCTGGGATGAACTGTGTGGGAAGCTCACTAACTACTCTGCACTGAGTCTCTTCACCTGCAAAGTGAAGGATCTGAGTAAGTGATGGCCAGGATGCCCTCTGGCATGCCGTGGCAGGCCTGAGGAGCAGTCCCCGCCCAAGGGCCATCTGAAAACTGAAGAACAGATTCCCCCTTTGACGTGTTTGCTCATCTGCTTGACTTATAGGAAGACGTCTGGCCAGGGACCCGTGCAGGTGAGGCTCTGCTTTGTCTGTGTGCACTGATAATGCAGAAAAACCCATCTTCACAGTTTTAAGTTGTCCTCTCTCATGTGCTTGTTGTATATTTATTATCCCAACTTTTACTCTGGAGTTCTCCAGCTGATAAGAGTGTCTATTTGCTATTCCTCTTCATTTATGCATTAACTGATTAATTCAAATCCTTCTTCCATCATTCTTCCTAATTCACCTCCCTCACTAAACTGACCCATTTCACACATTCACCAATGAACTGATTCAGTCAATCAATTAACCAATATCTGAGGGTCTGTGAGTCATTCTGATGAGACAGGAAAATAGGATCCTGAGATCCTGAAAGTATCTCAGAGGCATTAAGATACATGCACATTTCTGTCATTCAGGCTAGAGAGTGATAACCATCCTGAAAACTTGCTGGTGAAGTTCTTTAGTTTAGAGGAAAAGATTTTTAAAACACTTGCATCTGGGGACATCAATGTTTAGTCGACATATTTTTATACTGTGTTGTTGTTTATGCTGAGAAAAATCAGATTATTTTCCCAAATTGGAGTAGTGGTCTTCCAGGGGTACATGTATGTGCAAGTTCACGTTCTTCTCTCCCTTCCTCAAGCTGCTTGTTCTGCCTGGTAACCTGTTCTCCATCGGGGGGAATCAATATTCTTCACTCAGTATTCACTGAGCACCTGAATGGGAAGGGCACTATGCTAGGTGTGGGCAACACCACACTGAGCCCATCAGGTAAGGACCTGCGCTCATGGGCTGTGCACTCCACGGCTGCTCTGCTGTGCCTTGCTCAGCCCACGTACAGAGTTTGTACCACACAGTGGAGCTCACTGAGGATCTCCCCAGAAGTCAGTATTCTGCTCAGGACACTTGCTAACAGGATTCTCTCCTTCAATGTCTTGCTCACAACCCTGGACAGTGATGTCTGGGGCATCTGGGATGCTATTCCACTATCTGTGTCTGCAGGAGCCCTCCCAGCCCCATGTCACAGGTGTCCAACTACATCAACTCAGCTGCCCCACTGCAGGAACAGTCTGTATATGAAAATGGTGAGGTTTCCCAAATGGCCTGGCCCAAGCAGCCAGAGGGAGCCGGGGAAGGGGCAGTGGGATGACGTCTGCTAGCCCACCCTGTGCCTGCTGTGCCCCAGCCGCTTCCATGAACAAATGGCATGTCTGTCTTCATGGTGATAAGTGGTAGGCATGGAGTAAGGTAACTGGCAGGAAGAAAGGATGCCTCCTTTCTTCTCTTTCAGTGAACGTCGTAAGCGGGGAAGAGGTCTACTCTTTGGTGTACCATACGCAACAGGAGCAGCAAGCAGCGGGTGAGACATGAGGGAGTGAATGTATCGCTGACTTTTTTCTTTCCTGGAACCAAGAGGATACTCAGTGGCTGCAAATGGCATATGGAAGTGTTCTTCGGCACTGGTGCTCTGCCTTGAGCTGGCTGTGGGCTTTTCCCTGCCTCCCTGAGCACTGGCCTTGGGTCTAGGAGCAGCCCCGAGTGCTGGTGCTAGCTCAGCGCCCCCGGTCAGATGGCAGATTGGGGTGGCGGTGTCCACCTGCCCTCCTTGAGTGGCCCCACTTGCTGTTGTTGTCCCATCCATAACCTTGTGGGTCCAGAAACAAAAAGAGTGTAAATGCCCAGAGGGACCTACTTACCTGTCCACCTCTAGGCTGCCCATCATCCTCTGTACAGTAAGGAAATCATGTTCGTGATAAGCAGAAAAGCAAGACTAAAAATACTGATGGAAATCAGTACACAGAAAGTAGATAGGAGGAGAAGAAGCCTTTATTAGCACAACTTTAGTGAAGGACTTTAAATATAAGTGAAATCTTACAGCACACATCTTTTATTCCACAGTAGAACCCCGGAGGACACATACCACGGACCAGGTGAGTTAGAAGCCCTATTGGACTTTCATTCCTGCTCTTCTCTCTTTCTTCTAGGGACTGTTTCTCAAACCTTTAAAACTATGGCAACTTAGGAAAAGCAAAAGGTTCCAATGGTCCGTCTCTCCCCTTATCCCCCACACAGTGGGAAAAACATTTGGTCATAATAAAGCCTCATGGTGCAAGGGAATTTTGGAGACTTGCACAGATGTTTCCTTTAGCAACAGACACATGGATGATTTGTAGATACACTGTAGCACATGGCTGGTCTAAAAACTTCTATTCCTTGAAAATCTTGAATCCTGAAATACTGTTGAACCACACACACACCACTTTGTGTTGTGAGGTTAACCACACAATCTGTGGAAAACTCAACTAATATTGAACAAAGCTAAACTAATAGTGATTTGTGTCAACTCAGTAATTTGTAAACCTTGAACAATTCAAGATATCACTGGTAATACAAAAATACTTTCAGAAAATTACAGGAATTCTAACTCCACATGTGTACAAGGACAGTAGGTGCTTTGTAAGTTTGTCTAGTGTGGTGGGGGTAGCCAGAGGTCTCAGGACAGAATTTGTGTCCTTGGTAAACTCCAGTGACATGCTAAATGTAGTTTATGAGTACAAAATCCTGACATCCTTAAAAAAACGACAGCTCATGGAACTGCCTAACAGTGGCCCATTAGAATGGGAGTTTGCACATTTGGATGAGCTTACGGCTCATCAGGAGCACCTCTGCAGCCCACCAGAAGGACACAGGTCCTTTGAAAATGCTCACCTAGGGTCAGTCTTCCAAGAGGCTCCACCTTCTGTGCTGCACGGTGTGCCGCGATAGGACGCATCCAGGCTGGTTGGGGAAGAGAACCATGGGGAGGCATGTTCCACGTGTCTTCCCTGCTCTGGTCCTATCCACGTGCCTTTACTTTTAGGATGCTTCAGCCATCTATTTTAGGCTGAAGAAGGCAAGCGTTGCAGATGCGGACTATGAAGACGCTATGTAAAGTTCTGGAAGATTCTGCTCTTTGGAAACCATCCATGACCCCAAGCCTCAGAACCAGTATGTTCTTCAGGGAACCTGGGGTAGTCTGCTTTCCAGGACTTCTCATCCAGGTGCTTCCCCGCCCAGAGACTATTCCTGCATCTACCATGAAACGGAGGTGGTTCTAGCCCTGAAGAAACCACCCAAAGAACCACAATGAATGCAGGGGTGGGACCCGACTCTTACTGGTTGTTTTAGGCGCAGGTCAAATTGTGCTCTAGCTTCTTTCTCTGAGAGGAAACAGGGTGGGTGACCTTGGGGTGGAGGGACAGTGAAGCTCACTCAGAGTGCATGGACACGAGGTTAGCGATTCTGCGGGGCAGCTGCGCACAGAGATGGGTACACGTCCTCTTGTCCAAGTACAGACAAGCTCTGCACGGAACCCCAGAACAGAACTCCAGCCCCGACAATTACATGACTCATCCTGTTTCTGCATAAAATATGTGACTCAGTGCATTTGGGGTCACTGCTCCCAAATTAGAATTCAAACAAAGTTTTGTAAAGTTACTGTGGGTACATTCAATCTTCATGACATATTTTGTATGCACAAACTAACCTAGATGCCCCCATATTTGTAACGAGATACAATCTTTCTAAGTTTCACCACACCCAAAGTTCTGTATTTGTTGCACCCCTAGAAGCTTTATGAATATAATTTTTCTTCTTTTATTCACAAACTTTAAAAAATGTGGCAATACAATTTGGAGTCTATGTTTTAATTTTAAAACAATTATACACCAACTCTTACAAATTAGAAATATATAATGTAAAATGTTAGAGCCTTCCCTGTATCTAACACCACGAGTGGTAGCCATTGTTTAAAAACAGCATTGTTAATGAAATACTATCGTAATATATTTTAATCTTTTCAATTGCTGATGGACAATAGGTGGTTTCCAAAAACCTTATATTACAAAAACAATACTAAAATAAATGTTCTCGCACAAACGTATTTCTGTGTTCCTGCCAATCCATCTGAAGGATAAATTTGTAAATCAGGGACCAGGGCATTTTAGGTTGTGCACATTTTATATTTTTGTTAAATACTCTCAAACTGCTCTGCTGTATCAGTGAACACATCGGCCAATAACACACGAGAGAATCAGTCTGTGAGAGAAAAGTATCATTGTTATTTCAATTAAAAATTTTACAACGACTAAAGCAGTTGAGCATTTTTCCCATAAATTGACTGTACATTTGTAGTTCTTCCCAGTTTCCTGTGCTGGCCCTTTGCGCATTTTCTCAGTGTTCATTTGTCTTCTTCTTATAGCTTTTGTAGGAACTATTTATAATTTATGTACAGTGAGGTGCACACAATTCAGGTGCTCAGTTCCCTCAGTCTGATAAACACACACACACCCAAGTAACCCAAACTCTTGTCAGGATATAAAATTTCTCCATCATTCCAGAAACGTCCCTCACATTCCCCTCCATGTGATTATGTTCTAAAAATGTTCTTATATGTTCTTATAATGCTTTCATAATTCTGATATATATTCACTCAGGATATCATATGTACGTTTGGTGAGAGGTAAGAATCTGACTTCTCCTGTTGTGGAATTTTATATTATATTTATATTATGACTTTGCTTTTTGAAATAAAAAATGTGAGATAGAGATTGAAGTATTTTTTCAAATAAATATAAATTATCTACTATTATTTATTCAGTAGTCTGTTCTTTTTTCTTTTATTTCCCATGCTACCTTATCTCATCCAAATAAAAACTTCCTGTTCAATAGTGCTGCTTAACACTGATACTGTTTGAACTTCTGGCAAGGATGACTTTTCCCATCTCTGGACGGGCTCCAACCTCACTGTCCCCAGTGTTCTTCCCACACACCCTGGGCACCCCAGCTCAGAAGCTCTGCACCTACTTTTGCCTGCGCCGTGATGGTCTTCCTCCAGCACCCTTGCCAGCTCTCACCTCCTCAGCTGCATTTCTGTTTCTGGCCCATGGGACTGTTTACCTTTTTCTTTCTTAGGACAAATGTAGATTTTTATATTTTATATTTTATCTGCCACCGTGAAATATTTGGACCTCAGGGAGGACTCCAGGAATGAAGTAGGAGCCCCAGGCGACCAGAAGTTTGAAATTTTTTCTGGATTTACATGTGTTTTCCACCATTTACTAGATCTGCAGTTTTGATCAAATTGGTTAACCTCTGTGTATTTCTTCATGCTTAAAATTGGGATAAAAATTGTATCTACTATATTATGTATGCTGTCTTGTTCATTATGTAAAATCATTTGTTTAAAATGCTTCAAGGTCAACTGATGAATCACTGAACTCTACCTCTGAAACTAATAATACACTATATGCTAATTAATTGAATGTAAATAAAATTTAAAAAAATTTAGAACATCTGAAAAAAAATAAAATGCTCCAAGGTGTACATGGCACACATTAAATGCTCAAAAAATTATTATTATTATTTCTTTTCAAATTTCCCTTTTTGTTATTTATAGCATTTTACTATTATGGGTATAATACTTCCTTTTATTATTTTAACAACCTTAAAATAGTTTAAATACATTTAATTTATTGTAATTCTTACGTAGTTCTTCTGCCTGAAGTTTTAGGTATTTAAGCCTGCATTTCTCACATATTTTGAATCTTGTTCATCATGATTTGCTGGGATTTGTGACTATTGATGGAGACCCGTCCTGTGCATGGTGAGTTTCATGTGATCTGTGCTTCTGACTGTGTCCCTCAAAAGCCATTTTGTACCTGCTCCTTCTAAGTCCTGGGGACGTCACTGGCCCAGGACTGCTTTTTATGACAATTCCTTATCTGGGGCTTCCCTGAACCCACCCATGGGAGTGGCACAGTCCTGGGGTTCTGACATCTCAGGGGAAACTCTCTATTTCCCCCAGAGCTCATAGAAAGACAAGGTTAATTGTCATTTCTGTGCTGGTGGGTGAATGTTTTTCCCCACCAAGCCACTCTTTTATTAAAAGGAAAGTCTTTTGATGGTCCAGATTTTATGTGTTTTGGTTTCAACCTTCTACCTTTTGCAGACCCAGGATTTTGCCTCCGAGTTCCAGATGGACTAAATGCTAAGCTCATAAAAATTATCTAGTGTAATATTTTCTCCTCAGGGCACCAGTAATGTCAGTTTACATGTGTAACACTCTGTTTTCACTTCCTTTTTTTTTCTTATCTGTAATGGAGGAAATTTCCCTTCTCTTTTACCTGTTTAATTATGCATTTAAAGAATTATGTAATATTTATCCGTCCCTGAGTGAATGAATGCACCCTTCCTCTGACTGGTGAATTACCACCTCCAGAACTAGGAAGCAGTCATTGGCAGAGTAGGTTAGAAGAATGAGCAAATCCCTTGAAGGGAAATCAAAACCAAAAGCCAGAAGTACAATCTGGATCTTGGTTCTTGGTCTTCTA